CTACAGTTATTTTTGTTTCCTTGGACAAGTTGCGGTTACTCTCTCTGTCGAGGTAACAGAGAGTAACGTCATCATTTGAAACTGCAACCCAAATTTCAAAGTGAAATACAATAAATATAAACCTAAATAAAATGAAAGGTGTTCACTTCTGTATGGTGGTGGCATAGAACGATTTTAGTACCGTATAGAAGTGTAGACCATATTTACGGTGTTTTTTCACTGGTATCCAAGCCGGATGTCAGCGGATTTGATTAAGTTGTTAGCTCCAAAGAAAAAACTGTAGTAAATGTACGCGTCTGGAGCACATGCAAATAAAAATAATACGTTTTCGATATGGGGTATACCAACACTACTATACGGTACCTCCTTCATATAAACATGGCTAACTATGCCTCACAGATTTCAAATTCTACGTGATGTGATTTATGCTGCGTCTACATGGAAGGATGATATATAGAAATCCTAGTGTATTTTACCAATTCGCATTTGTTTTGTCGAAAACTCTCGCTAAATAGTGATTCAAGGTTTCTTCACAAAGTTAATTTATGGGTTTCAGACTTCTATGCTCCCATCGCCAAATGTAAGTCTCATTTTGAAAGTTCACATATCTCTATGCCCTGAAGCGTTCAAAAATTCCTGTCTAGAGAAAATTCCATACCATTTATTTTTACGCCTGATACTTTGTTTCAAATTTCCCCAAATCAACTCGATGGGATTGAAAACACAAAAATAGGGGAGAAGTCTCAGTATGGTGTGTCCATACTTTTCAGCAATACTCTCAAGGGCATAGACTTTTTCAAATGTTTTTGTCTATAAAACTTCAAGTAGTTGGTTTTTGACATAGTTATCTCCAAAATACAAATTGTTATCCATTAAAAAACTTTGTATTTCATCTTTCCTCGAATTTTTATTCGGTACTTTGATAAGCTGTCGCGAATGATAGGAAGCGTTGTCAAGAACTATTACACTATTCGCATACAAATTTGGGATCAATGTGTTTTCAAACCATTCCTCAAAAATATTAGCTTCTATGTTCTTATGAGAGTCAACATTGCAGTCCTCAAGTTTTTTCCACATAATTTCAAAGAATTCGGAACCCATCCTTTACTTCCTCCGCAATGCACAATTATTAGTCGCGATCCTTTGTTTGCAGGCATGTTAGGCGTACACATTCTCGAACCATCAGTCCACCTTTTCGTAACTGTGTCGTGAGTGCCATATTAAGTTTCGTCCAAATAGAAAATTTGCCATTCTTGTTTATATTTAGTTATTTGTTCTAAGTATTTGTAACTCAATCCACTATTCTTCTGCTTTCCATAACTAATTGAGTTTGTTTATTATGTTAAATCTAAATCCTAGTTTCTTTATCCCATTCTGAAGAGTTTTGTCACAGCAGCTCACGTTATGGCCGGAAGTATTCAATTTCTTCCTTATGATTTCAGTTGTAGGAATCTCATTGCTTTTGTAACAGTCGTATATTGTTTTTTTCAATGATTTTATTAGATGAGCATCTAAAGGTTTTGGTAATCCCGTATCACATCGCGTCTTACGTTCATAAGGTTTGTTTTTGACTATTTTACATACAGTTGAGAAGGGAATTTTGGTTCGAAACCTAACTTGAGATGTAGATTCTTATATACATTGAAACCTATTCTGTGTTTCAATATTCAAATGCATCCGAATCTTATTCACTGGTATCTCTTTTTCGCATTGTTCACCATCGCTATTGGAATCACTACACAGGAAAAAGTCTGTAACGTAATTATAACTGCACCAATATCGAATTTCAACACTCAAATCGCGATCATTTCCTGAACTGAACATTGATGGCACGACGGCGATAACCATGCCCGCATTGCCGATTTCTATTCGTCACCGTAACATGACTTCAAATTCAATTTAATGACTTCAGCCAATCATAAAACTCGGTTAGTAAAAATTATCCAATACGAACCGCCAATTCTTNACGTAGTTTAGTCTGTTGTCATTCATGTATCACTAATTGGAAATCAATATTGTTCTTATTTTCTATAATACTTGCTTTAATGACATCACCTTACCTATCTCAACTGTTCAATATGTAGACACGATATGAGAAGGAACTGATCAATTTGAAAATATAATTTCAGCTGTCTGTAGTAATGGATTTTTTATTTGCATAATTTCGGGAAACTAATCCTTGTTGAGGAAAAGAGTTTCATATTTTTAGTAACATTTTGTAATAAAGTTATCAGTGTTGATTGTTTTGTTTTTAAGTAAAAAGGATATGCTAAGACGTGAAGTTATTTTTTCTATGAAAAAAAAGGATTTTTCTTTGATTTATCTCAATATTTTGTTTTATTTTTGTTTTTGTATATTCTATTGAAAGTTGTACTCTAAGTTGAAATATTTTCTCTAGATTCATTTATTTCAGAAAAGTTTTCTTGAGAGATTTTTTCTGTATGTATATCTACAGTTGACTGAAAAAATTCTTTTTGTAAAATAAACGGTTATTTGATTATTGGCTTTTTTATTGAAAATACCTTCGACATGGTTACCATGGCCAGTTAGACTTAGTACAGAACTGAAACATTTCAAATATAAGTTACGCTTTTTTTTACAATTCATATTTTATCTGTTTCTTTACAAAATATGCCAGCCTGAGTAACAAGCTTTCGAAATTGGTTGCAATCACCAGTGATGTAACCCAAGGGTCCATTTCAGGTCTCACTTTGACATATGAAATTAGCTGTGAGGACTGTGACGAAGATATACCGGTCAGACCAAGCGAGCCATTGAAACTCGTTTCAAAGAACACGCAGCACATATCAGATTTTAAAGACCAGAAAAATCTAGTGTCGTTCAACAATGAAAACTGTATGGAATTGTTGAAGATCGGTACATGCCACTAGATTCCTGTATGCTTTCGAAAGCCTGGAAATAAGTGACAAGTCCCATTACAATTGTAAAGTGAACCAATTTAGATATGAATAGAGGGCATTTTTAGATACACAAACTTGGTTGTTGAAACGCGCGTCGAGAATAGTATTGCAGTTCCGGTGATTGGGAAAAGAACTTGTTTTGGACGATAGTCAATATAGAATTTTCTAATTGATTCGGCCGATACTTGATGAAAATCACTTTTGAATCACTGTTGAAGAAGCTACTGTGTTAGCGCAACGAACACTGATATATTTCTCAAATGAAGTTTGTGTAGATCAAATCCTTAGATGTAGTTTATGAAAAGTCAATATAGAAGCTTGAATCGACGTCTCTCTTGGGACTCTATTTTTGAGGACTGGTTATAGTATCGGTATCCTGATGATAGCTGCCCAATTTAGTTGGCAAATTGTTGTGCTTTTCAGTTTCTGGAGATAGCAAATATAAGTTGAAGAGGGAAAGGTTAAGTAATGTTTTTAAAACAGGAAATGTATTTACAATTATTGGATAATTTAAATTTATGATCTATTGAACATCATTTTGCGCCTATTTAAATTCAAATTGTATTCATCTATCAATTTCACCAAAAACAACATCCAGGGTTCCAATAATAGCCACAATGTCTGCCAACATAGAATTCTTTCCTAGTTTGTCCAGAGCCGCTAAATGTGCAAATCCGGGAGCTTTAATTTTACATCTGTAAGGTTTGGAACTCCCATCTGAAACAAGTAACAATATATGGATTTCAAATATGAAACTAAACTTTCATTGGATGGCGTTTCAAGATTACCCTTTCTTGAATTCTTGTAGAAAATACTTGAAAACATTGTACACAATAATTGTACTATATGGGCTGAAAAGTGTGAGACCTAACACATAGATGGCGCTAGTCTTATTGCATTCACCGCTTTTTCAGTTAGTACTGACCTAACCTAACCTAACCTAACCTTCAAAAGAAAGCTGTTGAATTTTCATGATATTCTATTCATAAGTTTGTGAGTTATTGGGCTGAGAGTGGGTGCCGCACGAACTCACTTTTGACTAAAAACAAGAACGTTTTGATGATTCGGAACAGTGTTTGGCCATATTTAAACATAACAAACCGTAATTTTTGCGTCGATATATGACAATGGATGAAACATGGATTAATCACTCCATCCAGGAATCAAAACGATATTCATTTGAGTGGAGAGCAACTGATGAACCTCGTCCAAAGCGTCCGAAAGCATAACAATCGGCTAAAAAGATTATGGCCTCGGTATTTTGGGATATGCGTGATGTCATATTCATCGACTACCTTCAGAAGTGAAATACAATCAACAGTAAATATTATATCGGCAAAACTACATGAATTGAACTTCGAATTGCTCCCACATCCACCGTATTTGCCAGATTTGGCTCCCAGTGACTACTGGCTGTTCGCAAACCTCAAAAACTGAAACTGAGACTCTTGATGGATATTAGGTACGTTGATGGATAAAGCCCATTTTGAACGAAAAAAACGCATTTTCTTTCTAATTCCTGGCACTTTTCAGCCCATATGTTATATAGATTAAAAAAATTATCATCAAGTGACCAGTTAAATATTTTTTTTATTTGTTACGTTTTTCCCCGTGAGTTGATCAATAATTAACTACACTGAATAATGAAACTTAACAACATTTCACTGTACCGCACTGTAGCTTCCACTTGTCTATCCCGATATCCTCGTGGCTAGTAGACCGGATGCCCGTGACAGAAATTTTGTTTCCATTTTTAACCGTCTGCCTTTTCCAGAGGACATATTTACAGCTACAAGCAACAGTATTATGCGTGAAACGAATTTTTTCCCATGTTACACATGCTTAGACATTAACTCTAGTTTGCATAAAAAAAAGCTTCTTTGGCCAACATTTTACCGTCTGTCTTTCATGCGACCGGAAGGCTAGGTTACGCAACCTACAAAAAAATAATTGGCAGACGGTTACATGGTGTTCTGGCTAAAACATGAATTTTTTATTTAACCAAAATATGGTTAACTAAAATCAATTTTTGACCGTCTGCCAAGCACAGTGTAGACTAACAGTAGCATGAAATGAACGAATTTTCACAAGGCAGACGGTTTGCCGGTGTATTAATAATTTATAGGCATTTGTTGATTAATAATTCTTTTACAGTGTCTCTGAACCATTTTTTACCGTCTGCCTCTTGAATGTAATAAAGTTCCATAATTAAAATGTCCTGCGAAAACTGTTGGCAGACAAATTGGCAATGTTTTAAGTATAGGGAGACGCAAATTAATGATACCTTCATTTCAGCTCTACTTGGTGGTGTTAATTTAGCATCATCTGTTTTTATTTCTCCAGGTGGCATTTGATTGAGACATTGATAAATAATTCTCAAAGACTGCCTCATTTCCTCCAAGCGACACAAATAACGATCATAGCAATCACCGTGTGTTCCGATAGGTACATCGAATTCAACCAGGTCGTAGGCATCGTAAGGTTGATTCTTTCGTAGGTCCCACTTGATTCCAGAACCCCTCAACATGACTCCGCTGAAATGTAAAGTTAATTTGAAATTTGTAATGAAATACACTTCTGTATTGAATAAGTATTCACCGAGATACAGCAGTTTAGAGTCATAAAAACGGATAAACCTTTTATTGTCATTACTATTTTACCTGAAGCCATAATTCAAAGCATCTTCAGCAGAGATAACGCCAATATTTTCCGTTCTTTGCACCCATATCCTGTTGTTTGTCAGAACGTCTTCGACTTCATCAATCCTTTCTCCAAACTTGGAGGCGAACTCATAAATATCGTCGAGTAAACCTAATGGTATATCCTGAAATCAAACTTTATCAATGATAACTCATATTAGGTAAGTATTTCATCACTCACTACTAAGTAGTTTTATTTAAAAATATATCTTGTTATTGACTCACTTGGGAAACTCCTCCAGGTCTAACGTAAGCAGCATGCATACGAGCTCCTGACACTCTCTCATAAAATTCCATGAGTTTTTCACGTTCCTCAAAGAGCCAGAAGAATGGAGTCAAAGCACCAACGTCCAGAGCATGAGTACCAATACCCATAATATGATTCAAAATTCTAGTGATTTCAGCAAATAATACTAAAATGAAAAACATATTTTTTAAGCCTTTTTTAGATATACATATTTTTTTCTGCTGGTCACGAATCTGAAGTGCAATTTGGGTTTTCTTTCGGAAGTAAGGCCATTTAAGTCACTGTCAAAAAATCGATTATTTCAGGAACTCGCTCCTGGTAATAAAAACCTGTAAAATGACACCTTCTTCTAACGATCTCATGCTGCTTGGCTATTCACCCATTTCAAATGTTTTCACAGAATAAAAAACTTCTATTTCGCAAAATAGACCCTATTTATGGATTCATGTTCTAAATTATATTGTTACTTCACTAGAGTTTTTGCTATTATTGGTTGGCAATATCACAAAGAGTTGAAGTCAAGAAAAGTATATTAAAGTACCATGTCAAAAATTTGACTAAGTTTCATCCTAAAATATGAGAATAACATGTAAATGGATATAAAAGGTAAAACTGGAACATCTGGCATAGAATAACTCCAAAAGAAGCACTTTTCCCAATTACCAGAAATGTAATACTTTTCGTAACGTGCATTTCACCAGTCCAAGTGGACAAAACACTCTTCCAGAAGAGTATTGCATTATTGGCGATTGTGAAAAATGCTTGTTCTGGATATTAATACTACTATCTTGTCGATACTTTCAAATGAAATATTACACAAACTACAAACATGGAATCTAATGTGTAGATGAAGAAAAAAGTATTCACATATAAAATTAACATCACATGCATTTCTAGTGTAACTTTTATACCAACAGAACCAATGACAAAGTAACTCATGAAAGTGTCATTTACTTTTATAAACAATTATGATGTAGTTTGCTGAAAACGATACAAATGGAAGTGACAAGTGAATAAAGAGGGACAAAAAGCCATCATGAAGAGAATGTCACGTCACAAGTTTTCATTACCGTAAATGGATCCTGAAATAGCTGATTTCTAGTCGCCGACTTCACACTTGTGAATAGCACACAAAAATATGTAATGCTATCATAATTTTTTTAAAAAACTAGCACAAGATTCAACAAATATTCATCAAAAACTATATTGCAAGTGAATCAGTATTGAATAATTCTGGGCAGTATTCAAGGAAGGGGCAAAGGAATAAAGAATATTGCAAACAAACTCTTCAATAACTTAAAAGTTCTTTTTAAATTTTTTTTGTATTGTAGATTTTTTTTTAAATAAATATTTGGATATCCCAAAGTGGAATATATTGAAAAACTTTTTGTTTGTACTTGTGTAAAATGCTTTACACTTTTTTCCAGAAAAAAACATTATCAACAACAATTTCAAAATATTCTGTAGGTGGATAATCCTAACAGTTCATTTACCTTTGATCGATTATGGAATTGGGCATATTCCTCCCTTCCCCACCCCTTTCCCAAACACACCCTGAATGTCACTGAAATCATTAGAAACATTTCCAATAGGTAACATCCTATCTTTTTTTTGTTAGATTGTGTATAGTCTGCTGACCAATTTGCACAGCATACACCTCCAAAAAGATTTTAATCCAAAAGGAAAAAATTGTTCACTATAAAGTAACATCTAATTGTCAGACTTTTCAATTGTCAAGGTATACCTCGGATATATTTAGCTCTCAATGGAACATCAATATTCAACAACTTTTCAATTGCTAAACTATAACACTGTTCGTTGCACATCATTGAAACGTAGTCAAGTCTGTCAAAATATGGTAACGCTTGTGTGTAGGTCTTATATTCTATAAGTTTCTCTGTACCACGATGTAGAAGTCCAATATGGGGGTCGGACCTTTTCACTACCTAAAAATTACATGAAAAAGCAATAGTTACAACAAGGTTTGCTATAATACCTCTCCGTCTAATTCCAAGACTAGTCGGAGTACCCCATGAGCAGCAGGATGTTGGGGCCCAAAGTTAAGGGTCATGTTTTTCACTGCTTTCTCCACAGGTATTTTCTTGGCGTTCCATGGTTGAAGAGCCCAATGCTTAGTTTCCTCATCAGGATACATGACAGGTCCGTCAAACTGTGACATCCATTCTGAATCTGGATACCATTTCGCACCATTATTCTGTTGACTTCAAAACAATGAATTTTTCAGGCGTTCATCATGACAATATTTATGTTTCGGTAATGAGTAATATGAGAAATTCAATAGACTATAAACTTCAGATACCATTTCCTTGGAAATTACATAACTAATCAAAATGATAAATATGGACATTTTACTGACAACTGTGAACCATTACCTGGTATGAATCAGAGCTGTTCCGTTTCTCAAAAACAGTTTTGAAGGAAGTAATTCGATAGATTTCTTCAAAATGGTATTCATCTTCAGCAATTTAATTTACCATAACCACAAAGTCAAAAATTTAACTCCGTCAACTGTTATCTGTCATTACTGTCAAATGGAATATTTATTTGTTCAATGTTGCCAAATGAAAACTTTTTGGATCCAAATGTTAAAAAAAAACAATACTTAATTTCTCCCGAGATCGCATTAATCTACCAGAATTGAACTACAGTTATTTCTTTTTCCTTGGCCAAGTTGCGGTTGCCCTCTCTGTCGAGGTAACAGAGAGTAACGTCATCATTTGAAACTGCAACCCAAATTTCAAAGTGAAATACAATAAATATAAACTTAAATAAAATGAAAGGTGTTCACTTCTGTATGGCGGTGAAATAGAACGATTTTAGTACATATAGAAGTGTACACCATATTTACGGTGTTTTTTCACTCGTATCCAAGCCGGATGTCAGCGGATTTGATTAAGTTATTAGCTCCAAAGAAAACACTGTAGTAAATATACGCGTCTGGAGCACATGCACATGCAATGGAAGGATGATATATAGAAACCCTAGTGTATTTTACCAATTCGCATTTGTTTTGCCAAAAACTCTCGCTAAATAGTGATTCAAGGTTTCTTCACAAAGTTAATTTATGGGCGGTTTCTCATTAACAATATTACGTGCATTCAAGAAACACTTCATCCTGATATTTTCATCAAACAGTTTATGTAACCGCAACATGTGTTTTACTATACAATAGCCTAATTTGAACCTCAAGCATGGAACTAAAACTTTGTATTGGTTCTGTAACTACAACCTTCACCTCTCAGACACACTGCACTTGTATTTTGCCCAAGGACTGATCAAAACTTGATTGGCAGTAGGCAATTTTTTTTTTATTTAAAGAGTATAATTGTATAAGACATGAACCAGCCTTGCATGACTTTACAAGGTAGTGGCACTAAACGATTGTCTTTACAATTTTGTTATGAGAACTCGTGTTGATAATTTTTGTGGAAAAACAGTACAAATGTATTCCAGACACCCCAGTTTGATGAATAAAGCTATATTACAGTCAGAAATAACCAATACTGCCTCCACAAGATTCTTGAAATATTAGGTTAGGTTAGGTCAAACGTGAGTGAGTCTATTCATCCCTCCACCGCAACCCGCAAGGGTTTATTGTGGCGCACACCTATTCAAACTCGACCAGATCAACCCAGCTTCTTGATGGAGCCGATTAGTTTATATGGTGAGTGATCTTTCAGGTCAGATGGTAGAAGTATGGTTCTACCAAACTCTGAAAACCTGATTCGGTCTGCAGCGGGGCAGGCACAAAGTATATGCTCTGCTGTTTCATCATTTTCCAAACAGGAGGCCTGTTAGACATCGTAGTTCATCCCTGATGTAGTCCAACAACAATTTGGTTTCAAACTTCGAAGGATGAAAGAAGGCCTTGAAGTGAGCCAATCCTGGAACATCCAATCCACTGTACTCAGGAAAAGTACTGTATTAGGCAGTTTGTAGTTGACAGTTGGAGGCCTAATGTCAGAGGTCATTCCCAGAATGCTGTGACTTCCATTGTCAACCAGCAATCTAGAATACTCTGCATTAGATTGCTTTGTTCAATTGGCGATGTACACAAGTCTATATGCAGTTCATCTATCCTCTCTCTCCAGAAAAATGTGGATCTTAAAATATTACTCAATACTCAGTTAGTATTACTTTTAAAATCCCAGGTGGCAGATGAGCAAAAGATCGCTTGTTCGACAGAATGCACCATTTGACATTTTTCAAAAATCCTCAACCTGCTTATAAAGTTAAATGAGTTATTCATAGCTTAACATTTATTATGTACAATTCATTCCATACTGGTCTTCTATCTCAACAATAATACTGTGAACATTCTAACAGCCAAAACACATTTCTGGTGAACCTGTATTTTCAAATACAAATTACTTTTGTTTTTCTTCTTCGAATAGCTGTTGAAGTTTTCGTTTTGTCTCCAAGGACTTTTCATAATTTCTTTTTCTTCTTTCTAAACGTTCCTGTTTCAAACACTTTCTCATCTCACTGTCTTCCGAATTACATATTCCAAACAGTCTTAGGAAAGGGTTCTAAAACATGTTTTTTTTAAATCTAAAAACCATTTCATTTATGTTCCTACCTCTTGACGACATTGATGTAATATCCTAATCAATTCATTACAATGGTCGGTATGTAGGTGTGGAGACAAATCTGTATGCATTCTGAAAAATTACAGGTATTTTAGGTTATGTACAGTTTCTTATAACCTAAAATTTGTCTTTGGTTTAATGGGCTCGGTTACTATAGCCGTTTATCCAGATACGATGATTATGTAACTGAGTTACATAATCGCTCTTCTATCGGTACAACCCTCCTCTGCGCAGTCGGAGAGGAATTCCGTAACCTGTAACCTGTCCTACATTTCTGTCACAAAAAAAAGGTAAATAATCAGAAGAGCCACACTCAGCTTCGAACATAAAACTATAGATTTAAATTATGTGGGGACAAAACATGGTAAAGTCTCTTCCTGATGTGTTTAGAATTTCCAGTATTTGTTCTGTGTCGTTTGTCTGTTTCAATCAATGATAAACTCGATCTATAAAAAGTTGGGGTTCGTATCACAAACCCAAGTAACAAAACCGAAGATTGAAGAGCATTTCCACATTTGCCACATTTCTCCTGTCAATTTTGATAAGTTAACTATCACTATCGAAGACAAATACCAACCTTTTGACTGAATGGCCCCAGCGCCCCAGTAATGCTGTGCTGGTAGCTTAGTAGCTAGTGTTGCCCATCGACATAACCTTAATCGTGTTGCCCATCGACATAACCTTAATCGTGTTGCCTGTCAAATTTTACTTTTGACCACCGTTTACTTATATATTTTGACAATAAGTAATCTGTTATAATTTTTTTTGTTTCGAGTAGAAGAGTAGTAATTAGGAACTACACTGATAACTAATATACAATCTGTGGTGGAGTTACGAAAGTAACAGTTACTAATGTAATAATTTAAATAAGATACCTATTGATTTAATTACACTTTTCATATGAATGTTTTGAGGTTTTGAGTTTTAACTTACAGAATATAGCCTGATTAAGACATCTTGAATGAAAGTATTCTTGAAAAAAAATTGAACCCTTTTTTTGAAAAATGTCTTTGTTTGGCTCTCCTTATTCTAATTCATGCATTCAAGATTTTGAATATGACGAGGAAAAGTTTGAGGATGAAGATGATAAAGATCATGAAGAACTTCCTGAAGAAAGTGATGAAGATACTGAAGATGCCAGTGAAACAGACACAGGTGCATAATATTAAATATTTTGATCTATATAAATAACATGTGATCTAATTTCCCCAGGAAGACATCGAGAACCACTGGAAATCAAAGAGCAAATGTACCAGGATAAATTGGCTAACTTGAAAAAGAAATTACAGCAACTCAAAGATGGTACTCATCACGATTATAACAGAAAAGTTCGAAAACTTGAATACCAATATAAAGAGCGTATACGTCTGAATGCACTCTATAGGGACTATACTATTGAATGTGTTGAAAAGGAATATATCCAGGAAAAAAAGGCAGCTGCTCGAGAGTTTGAAGAGAAAAAAATTGATCTGAAGGAAAACCTTATATCAGATCTTGAAGACAAAAAGAGGACTGTGGAAGCAGAAAGATTCACTATGGAGCTCACAGGTGACTCAATGGAGGTAAGTGTATATGATCTATTTACTCCATCATCTTTATAACAGAGAATATTGTTTTCTAGGTAAAGCCAGTTATGACAAGAAAACTACGTCGGAGACCAAATGATCCAATGCCTCTACCAGAGAAAAGGAGAAAAGCTCCAACGGCACAAATCACTTATCTGCTCGACGAAAAAGAGATGGAACATGATTTGCGAATTATTAATAAAGGAAAACTTTCTACACCAGTTCGAAAACACAGTGAGAATTCTTGTTCATCGAGTCCAGGACATGTCCAGGTAACTGAATAAATTTTATTCATTCTAATAAGAGTTTAGTTTTGCTAATTTTTGGTTAAGAGCAGTCGGATATGAAAAATGCTAGATGTATACCCTAAATATATCTTGGAAACGTGATACTTTCCAAATTTATTCTTGATTATTTCCTTCACATCGATAAAATGCACGAAAAAAACTATTGAATGCAATATTCATATAAAATTCACATGTATTTTTTGTTTAGGCAGCAGTGCCCGTACAGCAGGTCGCTGAAACTCCTCTCATAGAAACCCGAATAGAAGATGGAAAATTATTGTATGAAAAACGTTGGTATCATCGGGGACAATCCGTTTTTGTTGAAGGTAGGTATTTTTTCATTATTTCCATCAACAACCTAACCTGTTTTCTCTTGTTTTTGTAGGTCGTGACATGCCCAAATTCCCTGCCAATATATCCGCCATTGGCAATGATGCTGTTTGGGTTAAGAAATCTGACGGTGCAAAAGTTAGGATTTATATATCGTACCTTGCCCGAGGCAAAATCTCTCTCAAGAGAAGAGCTTCCTGAAAAGAATTTCAGTATTTGTGATAATTTAAGATTGCATTAAGATTTTTGTAAATAATAATGAAATATTTCGTTTTCTATAAAAAAAAATTAATCAAGAATTTTACATTGTAAACTCGTTTATCAAAATAGATTTTAGAATATATTCAAAAATCAATCCGATTTTGAAAATTTTCGTAAATTATTTGCAAGTATTCGCCAAGAGTTTCATTTTTTCTGGTGGGTTTTTTCCTGTTTTTGGATCCAAATAAAGTAATTATTGAACGTTTTTTCTGTACGAGTCTAAATAAAGAAGAATAATTTATGATTTTTTTTTTCGGTACTGTTAATTTTAAGAAAAAAGAAAAATCGTTTTACGCCTAATAAATCTAGTGATTTTTTTTGAATAATGGACTACTAAGTAACTTAATGCCCAGTTTCAAAGTCTATTGAAAACAACATTTATTTGTGAATCATGAACTACTGAGAAATTCAATGTCTAATCTTGAAAAGTAATGAAAACTATTTTCGAACATTCACTAGGATAATAATTTCATTTCTCAAATAAACAAAAAACTTGGGAAAATAAAACATTTAGAAAAAGCTCTCGTTTATTTCTCCCATTTCTATTTCGGCTCCTCCAGTACAATGAGTCAGGAACGGCTGATCCGATTTTCAGAAATAAAAAATTTTGGATAGAAAATTGAAATAAATATCAAACGAGTATAAGACCTGCTCTCTATTTGAAAAAAGTTGGTGGCGCCCTATCGGCGACGAGTGATGCAGCACTATTGACTTTCTTATCAAAAAGTACTGAAAATGATACCTTTTCACATACATTTTGTCCCACCTTGATATCTAGTTCCATTCAAACGTTAAGGGGGGAGGAGGCTATGGACACACTGTATTTTAAGGTAAATTAACTTAAAATTGCTTTCTTTCCGTTTGGAAACAGTTATGTCCTCTTTTCAATGAACAAAGTTTTTTTTGTGGTGTTCAGTTCCTTTTATTCGGTTCGCCAAATATGTTCCCGTAGAAGACCTAATGAGTTGAAAATGTCAGCCTTATGTGTAGTCTGCAGGTTTTTATACCTAAAGTTTCGTCTACTATTGCGGTAGACATCAAAGACGATGAGGTAACGGCGGCAGTGGTGGAGTTGTTCCCAATGTAGAAACTACAATGCTGAAATTTGTCTCCGGTTTTTTTGTATTATCATATGTGAGCGTTTCTTTTAATTCGATTACCTGTAGCTGCGGGTCGGTCTACATTGGAACCACGAAAAGAAGTATAGGTATCCGTCTCTTAGAACACAAGAGAAATTGTAATACTTGATAAAACTCAAAATTACTATCCAAGAGTATATAGAGAGGCAACAGAAATTCAAAACCACGAATAATTTCAATAGAAACAAAACAGGCAATGAACATTAATAACATCTGGCTACCTGTCCTTAGTCGTACACAAACAAGATCAGATATTCCAATTAAGAGAAAAACGAAACCACGGCCACCTACAATATACAAACCTACAAAATATAAAACCGTGACACAGTTATCTCCGGCCGTGCTTTTGTCTTGGGTAAGAATTCCATCTGAGACTCCAATAATCACAGCAACCACTTCAAGAGTCTGGTTAGAAACCAAGAAGCTCGGAGATAGAATCTTTAATCTCTATATTTCATCCATTATCTTCCTCTTCAGGTGATATTCGAATCTGAAAACTCTTTACAACTTGACTGTTATTATCATCATCATTCGTTCATAGAAAAAATGACATTTGGAACGTTATCACGTAAAAAATTCCATACGAAACTTTACCCTTGTTTTGCTGGGAATCAGAACAACTGTTTCAATAAGAGTTCAAAACTTTAGGAAGTTGTTATACTAAGTACATTAATAATGAACCAAAATTGTTATAATTGTTATCCGTATGTGTTGAAGCTGACAATATATCAAGTGAAAATGTTTTGTGAATCACAGTTGATTTCGACAGAGATTCAAGATGGTAAGTATGTGTCTATATTATTACCGACGTGAAATAGATATTATTTATGAAAACTTTGACTTCTAATATGTGGGATATACATAGAAATTGAAAATAAGTTCTTCCCATTCAGTTTATATTACAAATATAATTCATAGGAACTTTGCACAATGTGATAAGTGAACACAATCCCCAATGGTGTACTTTGAAGTTTTGGGACAAGACACTTGTCTTATCACCCATTTGGATAACATTACAAGACGGTGCACTTATTTTTTTCATAACATTACTTTTTTCTTCAATGATGGAGAAGTAGAAAGCCAAAAAGCTGTTTTTCCATGCATAGAAATATTTTATACTTCGGCTGGGTATGCCAAAAGCTCCAGAATGGTCACATGTATTTGTTGTTTTTAAAGCTGTTTTCTAAATTCAGTATGTATGTACGATAATGTCCAAAAGGTCAATTTTATTTTCACAATCGAGTAAACCAAATAGGAATTCTCATTCAAAAATGGTAGCTCAACTCTAATCATTTTCAAATACACTGAGGGTTGATTTGTAATACGTTTTGAAAACAACATAAATAAAACTCCGACTTAATAGGTACTGGTGCTATATACTCAAAAAATGAACGTCTAATATGAAATTAATGCTCTTTTGGAAGATGTGTAGCTGTTAATCCTACTGAAAGTACATTACAATTAGCTCATCTCTAGCTAGTTCATCGATTATATCCCTATAAAGTAACCCTAGTACATGAGCTTCATGAAGAAGCGTATCACCAACTTTACGAAGTACTTTGATGAATGTTCCAAAACAATTCAATACTTATTAACAATCATTTCAGTTGAACGATTAAGTAAATTGTGAATTTCAATTATTGGAATTATATAAAATTGAGAAAAGTAATAAAATCACGAACAAACTCTCAAAAAGTTTAAAGTTTGAATGAATTTGAGAGCTAAAACTTTCACACATCTGACACATTCAGACTTTTTCATAGGGATATTTGAAAAATAACCTCGCTACAAATTGAATACAGTTGCTACTAAGAAGTGTAGGAGAACTATGAGAGGTACTATTCGATAGATTTATATTTATAATCGGTGCCACAATCATCTTACATATTACATTGCATTCAAAGTAACTTTTTCTTTACAATTTTCAGATTTTCCCCAAGAACGAACACCTGAAAGTTTGCATGTACGCCAATGCACTACTGGGCGTATGGCCGTACATATTTGAGAACAACCCTACACTGAGGAAACTTTATAATATCTACTCGAAAGCAACATTCACCTATTACCTTTTATACATACTTACCGCTATAATCCAGCTCGTCATACTCCTCACCCGACAAGAAATAAACGTCAAAGAAGTTTTTGCGAATCTTGCCATCACCCTCTTGTACTCCGTTACTATCATGAGAGTGTACGCCATCAAATCAACCAGGATGAGGAATATTATTAAAGAAATAATGGATTTGGAAGATAAAACCATGGCTAGTGGAGACAAACAAATAATAGAAATTTATGAGTTTCACACTACACAGAGCAAGGTTTCTAACGTGATTTTTCTAGTGAATATATTCATAGGTAAAACTTTTTCAAAATATTGTCTTTTGAAAAATATTCAAATACGATTAGTAAATTACTGAGTTTGCCCAGAAATGCTACATTATTTGATAAATATTCATCCAAATTATCAGTAACACGTGTTACTATAAATTTTGCCCTCAAAAAAGAACAATATATGGATTTTAAATGAAACTTAACTTTCATTGGATGACGTTTCAAGATTACCCTTTCTTGAATTCTTGTTGAAAATACTTGAAAACATTGTACTGTGGCCTAACACATAGATGGCGCTAGTCTTATTGCATTCACCGCTTTTTCAGTTAGTACCAACCTTTAAAAGTAAGCTGTTGAATTTTCATGATATTTTACTTATAAGTTTGGCTAAGAGTGGCACTACTGTTATTTTCAAAACAATGGATCGTGTTTTAATTTTACACTGCTTCTTGATGGGAAAAATACTGGTCAAGCGAAGCAAAAAGTGGAGTTGCGTGAGTTAGTTGTCACTAGAGATATCAAAAGAACGTGTTGGCTTTATGTTGCATGAGCATTTGACTATGAGAAAGATTTGTTCAAAGTGGGTGCCAAGCGAGCTCACTTTTGACCAAAAACAAGAACGTTTTGATTATTCGGAGCAGTGTTTGGCCATATTTAAACAGAGCAAACCGTAATTTTTGCATCGATATATGACAATGAATAAAACATGGATCAATCACTTCATCCAGGAATCGAAACGATATTCATTTGAGTGGAGAGCAACTGGTGAACCTCGTCCAAGCATAACAATCGGCTAAAAAGGTTATGGCCTCGGTATTTTGGGATGTGCGCGACTACCTTCTGACTACCTTCTTCTACTACTTCTGACTACCTTCAGAAGTGAAATACAATCAACAGTGAATATTATATCGGCAAAACTACATGAATTGAACTTCGAATTGCTCCCACATCCACTGTATTTGCCAGATTTGGCTCCCAGCGACTACTGGCTGTTCGCAAACCTCAAAAACTGAAACTGAGACTCTTGATGGATACTACGTTGATGGATAAAGCCCATTTTAAACGAAAAAAAAACGCGTTTTCTTTCTAATTCCTCCACTGTTTGTGGAGGACATCATCAAGTTCGATGTTGAGAAAAACGAAACTATTTCAATTAAGGCCTTACCTCTCTCCTCCTGGTTTCCGTACGACGAGCAAAAACACTACCTAGCAAGTTACCTGTGGCATATTTTAGACGGGTCTATTGGAGCCTCTTTCGTCATGTACACAGACATTTTCACTTTCAGCCTTATCATATTTCCTTTAGGCCAGATCCATATTCTGAAACACATTCTGCGTCATTTTAATGAATATGCATTGAAGATCAAACATCAATTAGGTGTTACTGAGGAAGAAGCAAGCTTTATCACAATAAGGGAGTGTATTCTGAAACACAATAGTATAATAAGGTAGGTATATATCGAATTCGAAAAAATTGAAGAATTTTCAATATCGTTTTCAGATATATCAACGACTTCAACAAAGAAATGAGAAACATTATGGTTTTAGATTTCCTACAGAGTTCTTTGCAACTCGCTTCAGTAGTTATACAATTACTTGTGGTAAGATATAGTTTACAGACCGTAATATTAAAAAAAATATGGAATTTCTGGAAACTGCCTAAAATGGTTTCAATCCTACCTTACAGGACGTAGACAATTTGTTTAAACCAGTAGTTGCTCAAGTACAAAGATTGTGAAAGCAGGAATGCCCTAAGGATCGATCTTAGGACCCATACTTTTTTACTATATGTAAATGACCTGACTACTGTACGTATTTCTGGTAGTTTGACCATTTTTGCAGATGATACCACACTTTTGTGGCATAATAAAAATAAACAAAATTTATACGAAAGCATCTTTAATGACCTCAACGAAATTAAACAATGGTGCGATGCAAATCTGCTGTCATTCAACACTAAAAAAAACTGGCATAATGACCTTTAAGAGCAATCTACCAGAAATTCATATGGAAACTATACTAGTGGAAAATGAGATCTCTACAAAATTCTTGGGAATTAATATCGATGAGTATCTGAAATTTGAGGAGCATAGAGGCATTATAAACAAAAGAACTAGGATTTCACGCAGCAAATGTTTATTATGCCCTCATAGACTCCCACCTAAGGTATAGCATAGCATTTTGGGGTGTTTCAATCTGTTTTCATATTACAAAAACGTGTGGTATACGGTATCTCTGTGGAGCAAAGTGGAATGATCCTTGTAAGCCACTGTTTTTAATGCATTGAATTTTAACTGTGACTTCATTGTTAATTCTTGAATCAGCATGCCTTATACACAAGAACAATGATACTTTTACCTCTATGCCTCACCACAATATTAGACAAGCTTGCTAATTAGAGGTTCCTATCCCAACAAGTAGTCAAATCAAGAACAAGAAACTTGAAGGCAATTCTTGTCAAAAAGGCTTACTACATTAAATGAAGTTTTTGAGGATAACCTCTACACATAATAATATTCATGTGTATATATGTATGTATATATATTTTTTCTCTCTTATTCTTGGCGTGTACTTTTGGATTTCCCATACTTTTACAAAATTATTTTCGGCTTTGACCATTAATTGCCTGATTAGGTGTCCAATAAAATGTGAAAGCTTCTGATAATTCTACCGTATTCCCCAAAATATGATTTTATTTTAATTATCTTCGAAATTAATATTTTATCCCAACATCAAACCGTTATTTTTTAACACCTCGACACGTGTTTCGATCACCAAGTAATCATCTTCAAGTGGGAGATCAAACTAAAATTGTTTATTTTGTTTTAGACACAAATGAATTTAATTAATTTTATTTATTCTGCTCAGTTTACTGTTTCTATGCTGATAAGACTACTGGTTTACTACTGGTATGGAAATGAAATCATAGTCGAGGTGAGTAGTTGATTCCGATATATTACTGTCACTAGTTTGTGTTAAATTAAGAATAACTCCACGGAATGTTCTGCCTGTGGTTGGAAGTGACAAGAACAACAATACAGGATAGAACCATTTAACATTCCCAGATATTTTCGTCTGCTTCTTCTTCTTCTTCTTCTACTCTGAACTGTCCTTTTGCCAATGTAAAACAAGTCGATTAATTACGTCAGCATGAACATTGGGTGCTGTGATTCCACGAAGTCGACGAAAGCCGTTTTTGCCTTGTCTTGATTGGCGAAGGTTCTACCGGCGGTGATAAATTTCTATGGAGTAAACTTTTCCAGAAATAATAAATTGAGTGCATTTCCCCTTATGTTTGATAATATTTCTTTCTTTCTAACAAACTATATTACAAGTTATTATTATAAATTTGTGATTTGATAGAATTTGTATGAGTATTTGTTATTTATGAATGAAATAGATGAGAAAACTGAAAGTGGTCACCTCAAATGAATTTTGAATACATGAAAAACTTTTTCATATGATCATTATTTGTTATAAAAGACACTAGTTTCTTCAAATTCCTTGGTAAAATTATTTTCTACTTATATTACTTCTACTTACTTCCTTTTGGGACATTCTTTGGATTTCATCACTGACACATACATTATCATCCATTATTATGTTGAAGTTTTTTTGAATCGAATGATTCCATAAGAGTGAATAATAAATATTTGTTTATTTGGAGTGAAGCTCTATTGGATTTAAAGTAAATTTATCTACGTTTCATCAATGAGCTTTTAGGATCTTCAGGAGCAGCCATCACAACAAGAATTTTTTCTTGTCACAACTAATATTTTGATTGATACCTATACGTTATATTATTGTGATTATCCCATACTATTAGCTTTGTTTGGTGTATTTCATTAGTTCGTACTTCCATTGTCTATTTTCATCACTGACACATACATTATCATCCATTATTATGTTGAAGTTTTTTTGAATCGAATGATTCCATAAGACTGAATAATAAATATTTGTTTATTTGGAGTGAAAGCTCTATTGGATTTAAAGTAAATTTATCAACGTCTCATCAATGAGCTTTTAGGATCTTCAGGAGCAACCATCACAACAAGAATGTTTTCTTGTCACAACTAATATTTTGATTGATACCTATCCGTTATATTATTGTGATTATCCCATACTATTAGCTTTGTTTGGTGTATTTCATTAGTTCGTACTTCCATTGTCTAATATGATATAAACTGATTCGAAATCCCTGAAAGGATCAATAAAATTAAATAGATTAGCTGAAAAATAACAATTACATTAAGCAAAGAAACTGAAATTACAATGAAATAAAGTACTAGCCAAGTTACTTCACGACGTTTCGATTGTTAGTAGCCACAATCGTCTTCGGGTGATGCTTGGATCTATTCCTCCGAGAGATGACTATTTATATGTCATTCGAGTGCTTTCGCGTATCCCCTCTTCTCCCCTCTCTCCACCACCGGTTTAGCAGGAGCTGACCATTTGGCGGGAGGTGGCTGTTTTCCGCTTGATTTTGCAAATCGTGAATAGCAAAGCATGTTTGGACTCATCTAAATAACATCAAGCTGAAATCTAGCTGAAATCATCCACAAGGATGATAGTTTCTGAGAAAATTCCAAGAAGTCGCATATACGTTGGCAAACAACGCATTTAGCCAAGCTAGCGTCGTAGAGATACGCAACATATGGAAACCCATAATCAAGAGGAAAACGGCCAACTACTGCCAAACGGTCAGCTCCTGCTGAACCGGAGAGAGGAAAGAGGGGATAGGAGAAAGCACTCGAATGACCTATAAATAGTAATTTCTCGGAAGAATAAATCCAGTCATCCCTCGAAGACGATTGTGGATACTAACAATCAAAACGTCGTGAAGTAACTTGGCTTGAAATCTTTCAACTTTTATTCCTTGTTAATTGTTCAATTTTCAATTGTTACTTGTATTTTATTTCATTGTAATTTAAGTTTTTTGATTTATATAATTGTTATTTCTCAGCTATAATCTTTTGAATTTCACTGATTCTTTCAGAAATTCCATATCATATTAGACAATGTAAGTCAGAACTGGTAAAATTAACCATTAAACATTGTGAACCACCTTCAGACAAACATGAGCTTTTTTAATAATATGTATTTCAGAGTTCAAATATCGCTGTGGCTATATGGGAAAGTGAATGGTATGAAGAGTCGAAAAAGGTAAAAAATCTTATGCTGATTATGATGATGAGATGTAACAGAGAGCTTTGCTTGGAAATTGGTCCGTTCAACACAATGTCTTTAAACACTTTAATAGGAGTAAGTTTTTTAAATATGGTTAATCTTTATATCTGAACAATGGTTACTTAATCTACATATGTTCATACCTGTAACTGCATTGTAATATACCTCCTTCATGATTCATATATTATTCAAAGTTAAGATTGTTTGCTGCAAGAATTATCAATTTCATACGGATGTTAGTGTAATTTTTATTGATTTTATTGATCTCAAATTCGGTATTTGTATTAAAAAGAGATTGGAGTAATCACTATCATTATTTGAAATGTTTTTTATGACATTGAGAACGAATTTAATTTTTGTTTGAAAAATCAGTGAATTTCGACTTATTATATCACTGAGAGTTCCATAAAAGACAGTTCAAAGTTGAAGTGAAAATAATTCTCCCCTTATATTACATTCATTCGAGATATTTGTTTATACATATGTCAATTTGGGCAAATATTTGAATTTTTATTGTGATTTAACGACAATTCAGATTAACTTCTAATTGTAAGATGATAGATACGTTATAATGGATTTTCACTACGTATCTAAGTATCGGCCATAAAAAAAGGTTCCTAATTACTTGAAATTTTCCAGATACTGAAAGCAACTTACTCCTACATGATGGTTATTTACCGAAGATAAATTTTCCAGGAACATACAAAATCGTTTATCACACCACTATTATATAAGTAGATAACACTACAAGTATATTTGTTTCAAGCACTAAAGCTAGAACCTCAACTTTACCAAATCACAAATTATTTATAAAATATTTTCAAAATGTTGCAGTAGTTTTTGCATCTTTCAAAACAAATACACGTTATCAAGTAGATTCTGTTGTTCTTGTAAATTGGTGAGGCACGTCGCTAAAACGAGAATTTGACCCAGAATAAAAAGCTTTTTATATAGTTCCACAACTATTTTCTTGATATCCTTCGGCTCGACACATATTCAGTATGAAGTGGGTCCATAAGTCACGTAGGCCGGTCACGTAGATTCCACGCATGGTGAAAGACGTTTTGAATGAAACAGAGAGTTAAACTTTACTATTTTCTTAAGTTTGTTGTGTGCATTTCTGAAGGTCAAGTTGTCAAGTTCAAACTTGCCAAATAATTTTTTGTCAACAATGTCCATTACAGAACCCTCTTTAATCAAATACAACGATATTCACCAAACGATAACCAATATTTATTAGATACCAAAAAACTTATATAACTCGAAAAAATCGAACCTAAATTATTGACTACAATACCAACTTACTAGCTTTTACATGCGCGAAGTTATTCTACTCCCGCCCAAAAATTAGGCTTTTTTCAGGCTCTACTCGTTGATGGAATATATTGATAGAACATTTAGGTTCAAAAAAGTCTTTCACAAACCAGATGGTCAGCCCAAGCAGATGCAGTGAGCGCCTTGCATGAAGGTAATGAACAAGTTATAGAAGCTTTGATATCCATCACAAAAGATACCGAACAGGCACGAGAAACTAGAGACGAAGTCCTTAGTCGGTCCAGAAAACTGGAAAAACTCGAATATTATACTAACGGAAATTTGGAACTGTATATTGGAAAGAATAGACAAAATAAGTAATTATCTTCAGAAAGAAACAATAACACTAGACGTTGCAACTAATATGTTTACTTCACTTGATGATTTTTTTCAGCTGTAGGAAAACCCGGAAAAACCTGCAGCACCACTTCATCTGAAGATCTTAATCTACCAATGTCCTCTCTCTCATATATTTATTTAACCGTTTCATGTGATTGTTAATAAAATAAATATTTAACGTTGTTTATCCACTTTCTTTGTCTATTCTAACAAAATAGTGTTCCGTCAAAGTCATAGGGGCCCCATTATCCTATTATGCCCAGGGCCTCCAATAGGTTGAAGACGGCCCTGCTGTCCATATGACGGATATAGACATTATCAATGGCTAAATCCTTACTCGATGAAAATCAATAACACTAACTCGATTATTGCCACTATCGAAGAAGAATATGTGGGGAAAATCATAGAAGTACGGAATATGTGGGGAAAGTCATAGAAGTACGGAATGCTGGCACTTGCAGTATTCTTAGAAATGACCCCACCAATTTGTATCAGAAAGAAATAATGTTCATTGCATCATGAATGAAAAAGAAAAAGCTAGTTTGGTGATGATGAACCCACAACTATTCATTAATCAAGTTACAAAAAAGAACTACCCTATCAAACCGCTGTTTTTTTGTTACTGCACCTTCACTGAAACTATGAAACTAAAAATGGTGACAGTAAAAATATCGAGAATTATCGTCCCATATCATATTCCCAAAATTTTTTGAAAAAATTATAACACTTGGAAACATTCGCTCGATAGAAATTGCAACGNTGGCTCAAATGATACAGTTCACTTGTAACGTCCGGTTTTGATATTAAAATGCAATTAGAATATAGAAGGCTGTTGCTGTACCACGCAAAGAGCACGTAGACACCAAGTTAGGCTCTTGTTTTGGACAGCACGTTGCCATATTTCATAAAAATCATGAGAACGAATATTTTATTGATGTAGCCCACAAAATAATCATACATTATCAGTATACAATTTTATTTATGTCGTATACCTGCTTATAATATAAGTTGCATTTCAGTTGAAACGTCAGTTGATACGTCAGTTGATATTGAGACCACGAAAAAAAAATTGTGGTTTAATATGTATAATATACACATGCATATTCATATATTAATTTTCTACAAATATTTGAATTTATTATGGGTTTTCATTGATAAATTGATATTTTTTGAATGGATTTTTTGTTTTTATTTATTATTTTCATTATCGGATGAATCAGTAATTACTGTGGTTGATTGTAAGACCGAGACAATAGGCTTATGGCATGAGAAATAAGATACATATGTTTTCGAATGGAAATTTTTGAAAATCTAGAGAAAACTGCATCGATTGTTGTTCCATGTCTTCGGTTATTATTCATTTGTAGTTCTAATTTATCTTGTAGAAAGTTTACCAAGGGTTATATCTATCTTCGGATGCGAAATTAACATTGAAATCTCCTGCTAAAATTAGTGGCAACGCATGATAGTTTTCTCCTAATTCTCCAGAGCGTACTCGACCGTAAATATGTGCTCGCATCTCTCTCTCTCTCTCTCTGTTTGTTTTTCAATGTGTATCACATTATTTTTTTATTCAAAATGACATATTTTAATCTTACACATTTATATTTTACCTGAGAAATATGACCCGTCCCATTTACATAATGTAGCACAAAGGAATAATAAATCTATCTATCTATCAGAAAAAATAACCTAATCTACATTTCAGAGTTTGTAGAACTTTTTGAGGCAACCATTTTGTAGGGTTTTAGATCTGAATTCAACCAAACTCAGCCAGACCAAAGCAACTGAAAGTAATTTATATATGTGGAACTTTTTTTGCTAAAATCGCAAAAAATGCGTGAAATATTGCAAATTATATGCGAATATTGAGCAAAATCTATCGTTAAAAAACGGAACATACATTTTTTATTGGTGCTCAAGAAAGTGTGATATTTTCGGTTTCACTTTGAACCGAACATTGGACATTTTCTCTTCAAATAGGGACATCCTCATGACGTTATATTTTATTTCACCTTTCAAACAATAGATTTCTCATTTGATCCAGTCTTGCTACGATCGCTCTTGATTATCGTTCTTGTTGTTTTTTAGTCTCGTCACGTCCGCGTATATGCTTGCTTGTTCATGCCTAAGAACAATAGCTCACTTCTGAAGGGCATCTTGAAAGGCAATCGATGAACGAACATGTTTTTTTTAGTCTCGAGTTAATGACTATCAGTTCAGAAAAGTAGCCAAGCCTTTGGGTTTGATTCAGCACGAACATATTCCGGCCAACGGAATTCTATCATAAAAAAGTTGGGATAAATAAAGAAATAATTACGCTACGGTATATTATGCCAAAGGATAATAACTCGAAAACTTGTTGTAGATTCGAACAGCATCTTTTTCAAATAAAATATCACACGTTTCTTTTTTTTACACGCTTTATACTAGCTTCACCTTTATGTATGTATATATGTTTGTAACTCTCAAGCTCGGGATCTATATTTAACAGAATTACCGACATTATTGCTTGATCTATTCGCGTGCAGATGATGCTGAACGAAAATATCAATGGTAATTTTTCTAAACAATATAAGGCTGATTGATCCCAAAGTTTAGATTAAAATAAATATAGTTTAAAAATACTAAAACGACACGCTTTTATACGAAACTAAAGAATAAAAAACTAAAAAATCCCCTTTTAAGAACATAGAACTAAAAAGTTAAAAATATATTTTTAAAACAATAATGAACGAAAAATATTAGTATTATTGTGATGAAAGCGTGGGCGCTTTGTGCCACATTTTTTGTATATCAAGCGCTCCTCGCTTTTTTCACAATAATACTAATATTTTTTGTTCGTTATTGTTTAAAGCTTATTTAAAAAAATATTGTTAACTTTTTTGTTCGGTGTGCTTTAAAAGCGTGTTTTTTAGTTATTTAAGTTGGTAGTCGATGGTTTCTTTAAATAATCCATACCTACTGGAAGTACCTACCAACTAGTTTGTGATCTCTAGTAGATTAGTATCCACAAATTACAGGAAATGCGTCAGCGACATGAATTAACACCTGAAAACGTTTTCTTAGTAATGGGTTCAAAACGGCTTTTCGGAAATTTGTTTTTAACATGATATAGTTTTAATTGCCGATAAATTTGTCTGAAATCAACGTTATCTTTGCCTTCAATTCCGTGACCTTATACGCCTTTGAGTGCATTCATTTGTTGTATTTAGTCTAGGATTCCAGCCACTTAGTCTCCTTATGATAAAAGCACCTTTGAACTCGCGATCACGCATTTAGCACGTGATGCAACGGCCTACTGTATGCTTCTTTGCGTTCAAATATTTCATCATGCGTATTTCATAGCGTTTACAGTTAAAAAATTAGCGTGGTTTCAGTAATCTTCTACTGGGATTGAAATATGTCGGCTTTCAGCCGAAAACAAGAGATTGGCGATGAGTTCAGGAAAAATAATAAGTATGTATTTCTTTCAATACATGAGCAAAAGCTTTTGGAGCCAACTGTCTTAATAAAAAAAAATTCATGCTACAAAAGGTGACTTTCATTAGTTAAATTAGTTTCACTTTTATTACACTTTTATTCGTTTGCTTGTTCCATCAACAAGAGTTTATCATTTGGGCATTCATCCACTCATTACACAACTGGAAAATATTTCCATGAACGGAAATTTTACATGGGAATGAAAACTAGTACCTACTTATCATGTCGTGCATTCTGTAGTCGTTTGTGCAATACCATGAAAGAGATTTCGTAAAGGAACAATGGTACCTCTCTCTCAAATTCCGTTCGCCTCGTCCGATCACACTTTCCGTAACGCTCTCGTCACGCGTTCACGAGCTTACTCCCCAAGTCAAGCGCGCGTGAAGAAGTTTCACTTCAAAAAATGAGAAACTCGTCAACTCTGCACCTCCTTCCCCATAACAACCCTCCGTTCGATGAAATGAAAAATAATTTTGTCATGGTACCATAGTTTCTTTCATTGTAACAACAGCCTAACACACTTCAGTGATTTACCTAATAAATTTAATTCAGTATTGGTAGTTTTTGATAACTCTTTAAAACATTGTTATTGTACTATAATCTCCTTATGATCACGCATTTAACACCTGATGCAACAGCACGCTGTATGCTTCTTCACGTTTAAATAGTTCATCACACGTATTTCAAAGAACACGTAGGTTCATGAGCAAAAGCTTTTGG